TAGCCTGTTAATATGATGACTTACAGTAACTGATTTTTGAATGATGAGCCAGCCTTGCATATGTGTAATACTTGGTTATGGTATATAATTTTTTTTTGTATTGTTGGATTAGATTTGCTAATATTTTCGTGAGGATTTTGTATGTATTTTAATGAGTGATACTGATCTGTAGTTATCTTTTCTGGTAATGTCTTTATGTGGTTTTGGCAGTAGGGTAATATTGGGCTAGCAGAATAAGGTAGAATGTGTTCCCTCTGTCTACTTCTACTTTGTGGAAGAAATTGTAAAAAACTGGCATTCTTTATTCCTTAAATGTTTAGTAGGATTAACCTGTGAAACCATCTGAACCTGGTGCTTTCCTTTTTTGAACATGATTTTCTTCTTCTTCTTTTTTTTTTTTTTTTTGTTAGTTATTGATTCAATTTCTTTCTTTCTTTCTTTCTTTCTTTCTTTCTTTCTCTTTCTTTCTTTCTTTCTTTCTTTCTTTCTTTCTTTCTTTCTTTCTTTCTTTCTCTTTCTTTCTTTCTTTCTTTCTTTCTTTCTTTTCTTTCTTTCTTTCTTTCTTTCTTTCTTTCTCCTTCCTTCCTTCCTTCCTTCCTTCCTTCCTTCCTTCCTTCCTTCCTTCCTTCCTTCCTTCCTTCCTTCTTCCTCTCCTTCTTCCTCCTTCCTTCCTTTCTTTCTTTCTTTCTTTCTTTCTTTCTTTCTTTCTTTCTTTCTTTCTTTCTTTCTCTTTCTCTCTCCCTTCCTTCCTTTACTTTCTTCCTTACTTTCTCCCCTCCCCTTCCCTCCCCTCTCTTTCCTTTCTTCCTGCAACATCTCGCTCTGTTGTCCAGGCTGGAGTGCAGTGGTGCGATCATGGCTCACTGCAGCCTTGACCTCCTGGGCACTAGCAATACTCCCACCTTGGCCTCTGGAATAGCTGGGACCACAGGCGTGCACCACCATGCCCTGCTAATTTAAGGCTTTGTTTTTTTGTTTGTTTGTTTGTTTGTTTAAAGATATGGAGTCTTACGTTGCCCAGACTGGTCTTGAACTCCCTGGGCTCAAGCGATCCTCCCACCTTGGTCTCCCAAAGTGCTCATACAGGTATGAGCCACCATGCCTGGCCTGCTAAAGCATTTCTTTTTATGTTTCTCGCACAGCAGATCTGTTGGTGAAAGGTTTGTCTGAGAAAGTCTTTATTTATACTTCGCCTTTGAAGGAAAATTGTTCTGGATATAAGATTCCGTGTTGGTGTTTTCTCTTTTTAAAGTTTCAATGCTTTAAATTAATTTCACTTCACTCTCTTCTTGCTTGCATTGTTTCTGACAAGAAGTCCAGTGCTGTTCTTGTTCCTCTATATGTAAGGTGTGTTTTTCTCCCTGTGACTTTTTTCTTTTTCCTTCCTTCCTTCCTTCCTTCCTTCCTTCCTTCCTTCCTTCCTTCCTTCCTTCCTTCCTCCCTCCCTCCCTCCCTCCCTCCCTCCCTGCCTCTCTCCCTCCCTTCTTCCATTCCTTTCTCTCTCTCTCTCTCTTTCCTTTCTTTTCCCTTTTCTTTTCTTTCGTCTTTCAAGATGGGGTCCCACTCTGTTTCCCAGGTTGGAGTGCAATGGTGTGATCATGGCTCATTGCAGCCTTGACCTACTGGGCTGAAGCTCAAGTGATCCTCCCACCTCAGCCTCCCAAGTAGCTGGGGCCACACGTGGGTGCCACCAAGCATGGCTAATTTTTGCATTTTTTGTAGAGATGGCATTTCGCCGTGTTGCCCAGGCTGGCCTCGAACTTCTGAGCTCAAGTGATCCACCTGCCTTGGCCTCTGAAAGTGTTGGGATTATGGGAGTGAGCTGCCATGCTTGGCCATCTTTGTCTTTCTAAAGTTGAAATATGATATGGCTAGATGTGGATAGGCATATTTGGATATTTATCCTGCCTGGTATTCTCTAAGCTTCCTGGGTCTGTAGTTTGGTGTCTATCATTAATTTTGGAAAATTCTCAGCCATTATTTCTTCAAAGTATTTCTTCTGCTCCTTTCTCTTTTCTCCTTCTTGTATTCCCATTATATATCTGTTACACCTTTTGTAGTATCCCACAGTTCTTAGATATTCTGTTTTTTTTAAATTCTTTTTTCTCCTTGTATTTCAGTTTGGGAAGTTTCTTTTTTTAAAATTTTTGTTTGTGACAGGGTCTCACTCTGTCTCCCAGGCTGGAGTGCAGTGGCAGGATCTCAGCTCACTGCAACCTCTGCTTCCCAGGTTCAAGCGAGTCTTGTGCCTCAGCCTCCTGAGTAGCTGGGACTACAAGCGTGCACAACCATGCCTGGCTAACTTTTGTTTTTTAAGTAGAGACGGGGTTTTGCCATGTTGGCCAGGGTGGTCGCCAACTGCTGACCTCAAGCAATCTGCCCACTTTGGCCTCCCAAAGTGCTGGGATTATAGGCGTGAGCCACCACACCGTTCTGAGTTTGGGAAGTTTCTATTAACATCTTCAAGCTCACTGATTCTTTCCTTGTCAGTTTCTTTCTTTCTTTCTTTTCTTTTTTTTTTTTTTTGAGACGGAGTTTTGCTCTTGTTGCCCAGTCTGGAGTGCAGTGGTGCAATCTCGGCTCACTGCAACCTCCGCCTCCCAGTTTCAAGTGATTCTCCTGCCTTAGCCTCCCAAGTAGCTGGGATTACAGGCATGCGCCACCATGCCTGGCTAATTTTGTATTTTTATTAGAAATGGGGTTTCTCCATGTTGGTCAGGCTGGTCTCGAACTCCTGACCTCAGGTGATCCACCCACCTCAGCCTCCCAAAGTGCTGAGATTATAGGTGTGAGCCACCGTGCCCAGCCTCCTTGTCAGTTTCAAGTCTACTGATGAACCCACTCAAGGCATTCTTCATTTCTTTAATGATATTTTGAGTTCTAGCATTCACTTTTGGTTCTTTCTTAGCATCTCCATCACTCTGCTTATATTACCCATCTGTTTGTGCATGTTATCTGCTCTTTCTGTTAGTGCTGTTAACATTTTAATTATAGTTTTTTAAAAGTCCCTATATGATAATTCTAAAATCTGTGTCATACCTGAGTCTGGGTCTGATGTTTACTTGGTTTTTATGTACTTTTTAGCATGTCTTGTAATTTTTCAGTTGAAAGAGAGATATTATGTATCAAGCTTTTATTATGAAGCTTTATGTTAATTTGGCTAGGAGCTGGGTTGTGTTTAATGCTTATTATAGCTATAGGTGCCAGAGATTTCAGTTTCTCTAGTGCTTTTTTCCCTCCTTTCCTATTGTCTTTGAGTTTCCTTATGAACTCCTTAAATAGGGTCTGTGCCTTGTAGCTCTCTCACTTGTAATTTTCTGTTATTATACTGGATCCCTGTTGATGTGGTAGTAAAGTGTTGAAGGAGAATCTGTTTATACTTTTATAATTAATCTTATTCTTTTAGTGGCCTGAGCCCCTGGACTGTGACCTTCAGAAGTGTTTCTTAGCCTTTTCTTTTTCTCTCTTCTTAAGTGATACAGAAAGGCTATAGACAGCTGGAGTTGCCTAATTTTCATCTCCCAGGTCAGATAAGGCTCTGACATCTTCCCTTGAGATGGAGGGAATAATCTGGGTGTATTTTAAAATGATTACTTCTTTCCATCCCCCAGAAAGAAGAGGAGATTTTTCTTGGCTCTTTACTGTGAGAATCTGTTGGGGTTCCTGGAAGTAAAACTCATGACAGTGTGGTAGCATCCCCAAGACTGGGTCCTGAGGATGAAAACCCATGAAAGTATGGTAGCATCCCTAAGACCAGAACCTGAGGAGGTTTTTATTCTCAAACTAGTCCACACTCATCCTTTACTAGTTTGTCGGAGTTACTGCTTAAGTACTTCTACCAGTTTATGACTCCAGCAGCTTCTGCATGAGGCAATTTTGTCTTAGCTGTAATTTTCTTAATCTCCTTCTTTCTCCAGCTTTCTGAGTCGCAGTTTGCCCTGTCACTTCAATTCTCTGAAGAATCTAAGAAAAGTGGTTGATTTTCAATTTGTTCAGCTTTTGTTCTTATTATAGGGTGGGAGCGATGACCTCTCATGTGAGAGGGAAAACTGGAAGTCAATAGTGGTTTTGGAAATGGCAGTTTATTTTTCTTTCAGAACTGATGTAGCCAGCCAACGGCAGATATGGCAGATAGCTCTGTGATCATCTGGGACCCGTGATCCTTTTATCTTGTCACTCTGCCATCTTCAGTATGTATCATCCACCTTGTGTTTGGAAATGGCCTATCCATCTCCAGTCATCACATAGTATTCCAAACATCCTGCAGGAAATATGAAGGAGACAGACAGAGAGAAAGAGACAGTCTTTTAAGACATCCTTTTAATTTAAGGATACTTCCTAGAAGTTGCTTTTGCCACTTTTGCTTAATTCCAGACCTACTAGACCTTGAGTTTGCATGGCCAAACATACCTGCAGTGGAGGTTGGGTGATACAGCTTTAATCTGGATATGTCATGGCCAGCTAAAAGTGCATAGAATAGAAATTGAAGAGCAATTAGCAGTCTCTACCACAACAGTGTTCCAAGGCTTTCCTCAGATTATGAAAGGTGTCTGTGGCACAACATAGCTTAAGAAAACTCTGCTTTACGAAATTGCTATGAGAGTTGGGGTCACAGCATGTCAACACTCGGTTGGCACTGGCACTGACATACCCAGAATATTTAGCCCAAGCTGACTTGCATTCAGTTACTCGCGTGTCCTGAAGGCTTGCCATGGGTCAGATGTCAGGCTGATAATAAGCTAATCCCTCCCTACCCTTCAGGAGTGCCCAGTCTGATATTGTAAATCTTCAGCTCATTGCTGGACATGGTTGCAGCATTATCTATGCCTCAGAGTCCCCATCTTTTAAAAAGAGTGTGCATCCTGTGTTTTTTGTCTTATCTGGCTACAGGAGCAGTGATGCACAGGTGTGAAGGTATGGTAGAAGCCAGTTAGCTTAAGGTGTGGCAGGGATAAAAGGCTGCTGGGCCCAACTCTGTATGACTTTTTTTTCCCTGGCAGCTTCCCCAACCAGCAGATTGTTTCAGGATCAAGCGGTGGTGAAAGAGAATGAAGGCAAATATATGTGTGAGTCAAGTAGGTTCTACCCAAAGGATATTAATATAACATGGGAGAAGTGGACCCAGAAGTCTCCCCATCATGTAGTGATTTCTGAGAACATCATCACTGGTCCCACCATCAAGAATATGGATGGTACATTTAACATCACTAGCTACTTGAAGCTGAACTCCTCTCAGGAAGACCCTGGGACTGTCTACCGATGTGTGATACGGCATGAGTCCTTGCATACTCCTGTGAGCATCGACTTTATCCTGACTGCTCCTCAGCAGAGTCTTTCTGGTAAGGGTCTTTCTGGACATTTCTTCTCTTCCCTGCCTTGAGGGACTGTAACATAAGACTTATTCCCACACAGCCCGGGGTCTTAGCTGGGGACTGAAGGGGAAGGAGAGAAAGCTTGGACTGGAAGGTCCAAGCTGGGGTCTGGCCTAGCTCAGCCCCAGAGTCAGCAGTCCAGCTTAGGTCCCTACACCTGGGCAGAAGATGGTCTAGAGTGGTGACCATAGTCATCAGGTGGAGCAGGGCGACTTGTCAGCTCATGGCAGCTTCAGGGTTTTGGATGGTCCATATGGCTTGAAATAGGGAACCTGCCAGCTGCTAGGGGAATGGGGACAGTATCCTACCCATGTTCCCTGAGGATAAGGGGCTATCAGGGGCCAGGGACCAGTCCTGCTAGCAGCCCTTCTAGTCAGGCTCTAGGTTCACTGTAAACTGTTGGCTGGTAGGCTGGTAGAGGCTGAATCAGTAGTCTTGTCTTTTTTTTTTTTTTGAGATGGAGTTTTGCTTTTGTTGCCCAGGCTGGAGTTCAATGGCATGATCTCAGCTCACCACAACCTCTGCCTCCCATGTTCAAGCGATTCTCCTGCCTCAGCATCCTGAGTAGCTGGGTCTACAGGCATGCACCACCACGCACAGTTGATTTTGTATTTTTAGTAGAGACGGGGTTTCTCCATGTTGGTCAGGCTTGTCTCGAACTCCTGACCTCAGGTAATCCGCCTGCCTTGGCCTCCCAAAGTGCTGAGATTACAGGCATGAGCCACCGCGCCTGGCCAGTAGTCTTGTTTTATGGGCTGTGTCCCAAGATGGGGAGGCTACAGTAGAGTGGTTCTGCAAATGCTCAGTGCCTTCCCCAGGCACACTGGATCCTTAAAACACAGTTCACGGCAGACCCACTCCTGCTGGTGGGGTGGGGCTTTTTGAGCTCATATGCCCTGGTCATAGCTCTGGTCTTGGGTAGGGGTAGCTCTGCTGGTAAAATGCATCTCCCTGGGTCTGAGAGGAGTAAAGAAGGCAGGGAGTGACTGGGGGCACTGAGGAATGTGGTCAGGCTATGCCAGATGGGGCCCAGGATGGTCCTGGGGAGAGAGGAATTATTCTTGGAAGTAAGGACTAGGAGTGTATATGGGTGGTGTGTGCAGGGCTGCAGGGAGGGCATGTGTGTCCACTGGGAGTATGAAATGGAAATATACCTTGCATGTATGGTATGAGGTGTTGTCTGTGTGGTATGCACATGGGGTAGAAGATGGTGTCCTATTACAGAAGGTTTGAAGATGAGGGTGGCACACTTATGTGGTATGTGGTGTTCATCTTCCATATTTTTGGCAAGCGCTACATACACTGTTCGGTGTGTGGAGGTATATGTGATAGGAATGGAGACGCTGAGACATGTGGTAGAGGGCTGGTGGTTAAATCTCTGACAAGGAGGATGACACAACCACACAGATCCCAGCAGCAGTTGTGTGGTTTCTCTGGCCCTTGCCTGTAGGTTTCCTGTTAATATTTTCCTTCTCTCTCTGCAGAACCTGAGAAGACAGATGTCTCTTCCACTATTTGGTGGCCTATTCCATTAGCTGTTGGATTGATTTTATTAATTTTATTAATTTGGATTCTTTGGAAAAAGGTAAGGGGCTCCAAAGCAAAGTTCAGCCCTGTGTCTTGGGCTGGTAAAAAGCTTTTAGGGCGGCTGCTGCCAACCTTACGAGACTCAAGGGACAGGCCTGCTGGAGAGGACTTTGTCAGTCCCTCTTCACCATCAGGTGTTGGGAATGTTGGCTCTGTTCCAATCCAGTTTCCTTTCACAGAGGACCTAGCTGTCACATGCCATCTGACCTTTGTATGGTGGTTTGTGACTCTGGGGTGATGTGTTGTAAAGCCTCCCTCTGTTTCTCCAAGTTACTAAGCAAGTATTATATCTCTGTGAATGAACCAGACTTGAGTGTTCAGACCAGGCCCTGAACTATGTGTGGGCTGCTTGTTTTTCTCACACATTTAGAAACTATGGCTCAGAGAGGGGAATTCCTCATACTTTATCTGATCAATAACTTACCATCAGATTTCACTAGTTTGACTAAGAATTTCTAACCCTCACTAGGTATTTCTAAACTAAAACATGTTTCTAAACATTTTTATCCCTGACTATGGCCCAAATAGTAAATAAAACAGCTCAAGCTTTAGAGGCCCAAGAGACCTGTGAAAATGTGTTGGTTAAAATAGTTTTAGATAATAAAAGGGCCCTCAATTATTTATGGGCCTGTCAAGGCAAAATCTGCACAACAGCTAGTACATCTCATTATAAATACTTTAGGAGAAGTGGAATAATCAATTAAGAAAAATGGCTCTTTTTTTTTTTTTTTTTTGAGACGGAGTCTCGCTCTGTTGCCCAGGCTGGAGTGCAGTGGCCGGATCTCAGCTCACTGCAAGCTCCGCCTCCCGGGTTCCTGCCATTCTCCTGCCTCAGCCTCCCGGGTAGCTGGGACTACAGGCGCCCGCCACCTTGCCCGGCTAGTTTTTTGTCTTTTTTGGTAGAGACGGGGTTTCACCGTGTTAGCCAGGCTGGTCTTGATCTCCTGACCTCGTGATCCGCCCGTCTCGGCCTCCCAAAGTGCTGGGATTACAGGCTTGAGCCACCGCACCCGGCCAGAAAAATGGCTCTTTATCTAAAGTTGGCCATTTAGATTCACAGGACTTATTCCTGTTGGATCTAAGACAATGAGAAAACTGGATAAAAAGTGGTTTTCAAATGTTTCTTATGATATTTGTGACTGTTGTCATATTTCTTGCCTTTCTCTGACTCTGATATTCAGGTGCCATTGAGAGAGGAGGAAGGAAGAAACTAGTTAGGCAGGCAGTTAGGGTGGGCCCTCAGTAAAATTCCTTCAGACAAAAGAACAGCCTGAAAAATCAAACTGCAGATAAGGGAACTTGTACAGGGTGGCTTGCCTAAAACATGCCCAAAGCCACATAGATTTAAAAAAGGCTACACAGGAGACTTGCCAAGACATGCCCACAATCGAAAATTCCATCCCCTGACACATGCACAGTAAGGGGAACAAAGCCACGTGGAGTAACTTGAGCTAAGGGCTTGCATGCTCATTATGAGGATGGGGTGGAGCTACCAGAAATGTGTGCCTTATGCCTTTGTATTCAGCTGTGAAATGGCAACCCTCTTTTGGGCCCCCTCTCTGCAGTGGAGAGCTTTCTTCTTTCGCTTATTAAACTTTCACTTCAACTTCATCCTTGGGGTCCACGTTCCTTACTTTTCTTGGTCATGAGACAAAGAACTTCAGGTGATGCCTTAGGCAACAAGAGACTGCTACATGGTGGTGCATTGACGAGACTAACATTTTGGTGCATTGGCTGGGAAACATTGGAAGGGTGAGTAGGAGCGGACCTCCAAACTCTTTACTTTCATTTCAGAGGCTGCTTGTCCTCAGATTTTTTCCTGAAGACTGAACAAAACACTGGGCCAATTAAAAGCTTTTCGAGTGGCTGCCAACCTTATGAGACTCAAGGGACAGGTTTGCTGGAGAGGACTTTGTCAGTCCCCCTTCACCCTCAGGTGTTGGGAATGTTGGCTCTGTTCCAATCCAGTTTCCTTTCACAGAGGGCCTAGCTGTCACATGGGCTAGAAGGAGGCCCTGGGGCAACCGAAGGTTTCTGTTTGAGGCAACTCGTCAGTGTTATCTGAAGGCCCCTGGACTAACTAACTCCAGGCCCCAACAGCCCATCACGGTGTTGTCACCAGGACTTCCAGACTTTTCTACTGCATTTTCTTCCTTGCTTTTCACAGCTACTGTGTCTCCTATTCCTTATTTGTATGCAATGTTGTGGGTGTTTTTATAGCCTGGGGAGATAATACTGTTAAGCAAAGTCAGCAAGTGCCTTAGTAACCAGGAATGTAACTCAAATAATTATTGTTTTTGTGATTTCCTTGAGACAGGGGGACTTCAAGATTTCAGCCTAAACCTTTACTTAGGCCCTTTTTCCCCCAATGATAGACATTCATGGCACTGTATAGGGGGATGTTTCACCCCGAGTGAATATCCTTTTCTCCTTTGGGTTGTTTTTCCTCCATGTAAGAGCTCAGCATTGCCCATTGAATTTAAGCGTTCCCTCTATGAGACAAACTAGTTTTTTTCTACTGGACAGCATATTATGGGGACAGCCTATTAAGCCCCAAGCCTCTCTTTCTGACCGCTGCTTGGAAAGAATTTGTAGTCAGTTTTTTCCTAACATTTCAAACCCTACAGTGCCACCTAGTGGGATGGGATTTTTCTTTTGAGAAGCCTTGTCAGCCCTTTGCCCAAAACCTCTAGTTCCCCGATTCCTTTACCTCTTATGTCCCTCATTCAGTGATCAGGCCCCATGCCCTATTTGTAAGCAGAAAAACTCCTTCAACAGCCAGGAGGAAGCCACCCTGGCAAGACAGATTTTAGCCTCAGTGTTATCCCCATTGGAGGGAGAACAGCCATTCAATTTTTACATTATTTTGAGGCATCTGTTCTGCACACAGCTACATTGGCATCTAAGTGAGAAAGGGATCTTATGTTTAGAAATCAATTGGTCTCATTCTCTAGAAATTCATAACTTTGCCCAGGTGGTAGTAAGAGGATGTAAGGATAGAGTTAAGATGTTCCCTTCCTTAAAGGGTCTTGCCCAAATTCAACTACTGCACAGTCTCTCCCAGGGTTCTAGGGAATCTCAGGAGCCTTATGGGCCAAGCAGGTCTAGGAAACCGGCAGGGCAGAGAGCTAGAGCCTTGTGCAGGTGACCACAAGCTAGCTCCTCCGGATTCATGGGTGAAGGTCATACTTGGATCCATGGGCGGCACCTATAATGGTCACCAGGAATCTGAGGAAACAGGAGGAAAGAGGAGAAGGGGGACACCCCTTCTATTTTTCTCTCTTCCCTCAGTCACTTCAGAAGGACAAAGGAGACTAAGGGATGCCTTTTTTCTCCTCTTTTTCTAGATGTGTAACAAATAATCTTCAGCCTATACTCCTCTCAAGTGCATTCTGAAACACTGGAGCTCCTTTGACACTCAGACTCTGAAGAAAGAGCGCCTCGTATTCTTTTGCACTCGGGCATGGCCATCTTACCAGCTGCAGGATGGGGAGGCCTGGCCTCCTGAGGGAAGTGTTAATATTAATACCATTCAACAACTAGATATTTTCTGCAGACAGGAGGGCAAATGGTCCGAGGTTCCTTATGTGCAAGCCTTCTTTGCCTTGCGAGACAACCCAGATCTTTGTGTGTGTTGTGGAATTTACCCTGCTCTCCTAACAGATACATCAGGCAAGTCCACAGATGATAATTCCCCAAAGTCTGAGAAACAAACCCCTAGGGAACACTCGGATGCAGTTCCTGGATGCCCCAGTCCTTCCTCTCCCCACTCTCTGGGACCTCCTTCAGCCACATCATCAACAACTCCAGTTCTACCCTCCCAACCCCCAACTTTACTGTTACCCCTACAGTAAATGCCTGATGGACGTGGTGCCACTAGGGTCCAAGTTCCCTTTTCATTACAGGACCTTGTGCAAATAGAGGGGGACCTGGGCAAGTTCTCTGGTGACCCTGATAGATATATAGAGGCTTTCCAAAACCTAACTCAGGTGTTTGACCTTACTTGGAGTGATATTATGTTGCTCTTAAACTCTTAACTACTGCAGAGAAACAGGTAGCCCTGCAGGCAGCAGAAAAATTCAGAGATGAACAACATGTCTTCTCTAGTTGCTCAATAAGGAAAGAAGGTGAGAAAGAACCAGCATTCACATACCCAATAGGAAGGGAGGCAGTGCCCCTTGAACAACATAATTGGGATCCCAGTGGTACCTTAGATGAGTGGCAAATAACATTTTCAAATGTGCTTATTAGAGGGCTTATGGAGGACCAGAGCCAAGCCTCTTAATTACCCCAAACTTTCCATGATAGATTAAAAACTAGATGAAATTCCCTCAGCCTTTTTGGAAAGGCTGAGAGAGGCTGTAGTGAAACATACGTTCCTGTCTCCTGTGAGGGATGTTTATACCTCACATAAATAATTCAACTGAGGGACAGCTAATTTTGAAAGACAAGTTTATTACTCAGGACAGCCCCTGATATCAGAAGGAAGCTAGAGAAACAGGCCATGGGACCAGATAGCACCTTAGAAAACCTCCTGAAGGTAACCACCTTGGTCTTTTATAATAGAGACCAGGAGGAGGCCCAGGAGAAGGAGAGGAAAAAGGCAGAGACTCTTGTGGGCACTTTGTATAAAATCCAGTATCCCCAAGGTGCACCTGCTAGTTGCTACCAATGTGGCAAACCCGGGTACTTCAACAGGGACCGCCCATGCAGCAAGAAGAAGCCACCTCAACCCTGTCCAGTATACAGTGGGGACCACTGGAAGGCAGACTGCCCCAGGAGACATAGGTCACTGAGTCCAGAGCCAGTCTCACAAATGGTCCAGCAGGACTGATGGGTCCTGGGGCTTAACTCCCTGGCTCCAGCGGCTCAGACTGTTACTAACCAGGAGCCCCAGGTGATTCTGGAGTTCGAAGGGAGGAAGATAGACTTCTTTCTGGACACTGGAGCCAGTCTCTGTGTTTTCCTCTCCAGTTCAGGCTTTCGTTCCTCCCATAGCACAACCATGATGGGCATCTCAGGGAAGACTTTAACCTGATACTTTTCTCAACCTATTAGCTGCAGTTGGGGAGACCTGCTGTTTACACAGGCCTTTTTAATCATGCCTGAAAGTCCCACTCCTTTATTAGGTAGAGATATTCCAGCATGTATGGGGGCCACCATCCTTATGGCTCCAGGACAAACTCTGCCTCCCCTTAGTGGAAAACAGTATTAACCCAGAGGTTTGGGAAACTCAGGGAAGAAGTGGCTGGGCTATAACAAGTATACCAGTCTGGATCCACCTCAAGGATCCCACTTTTTTTTCCTAACCAGAGACAATAACCCCTGAAGCCAGAAAGTAGAAAAGGGCTAGAAGCCAGCATTGATAATGTAAAGGCACAAGGCCTCCTTAGGCCTTGCCGTAGCCCTTGAAACACCCCAATATTAGGGGTGCAAAAATCCAATGGGGAATGGAGACAAGTTCAGGAGCTCTGCCTTATTAATGAGGCTATGGTTCCGATTCATCTAGTAGATCCCTATCCCTATACTTTGCTAACTCAAATATCCAAGGGAACTAAATGGTTCCCAGTTCTGGACCTAAAGGATGCCTTTTTCTGTATTACCTTTACACCCTGACTCCCAATACTTGTTTGCCTTTGAGGACTCCTCCCATCAAACAACCCAGTTAATCTGGACAGTACTGCCTCAGATTTAGAGATAGTCCCCACCTATTTGGGCAAGTATTGTCAAGAGATCACTTTGAATTATCCCATCCTCAGGTTAAAGTTTTACAATATGTAGATGACATTCTCCTCTGTGCCCCGACTGAGGAAGTTTCTTGAGAGGGCACTGAGGCTCTCCTTAATTTTCTAGCTGGAAAGGGATATAAGGCTTCAAAAATCTAAGACTCAGCCCTGTCAGACTTCAGTAAAGTACCTAGGTCTGGTCTTGTCAGAAGGGAACAAGAGCACTAGGCGAGGAGAGGATTAAGCCCATTTCTTCCCTTCCCCTCCCCAGAATCCTCAAACAGCTGAGGGATGCTTGGGCATTACGGGTTTTTGTAGGTTATGGATACCCAGGTATGATGAAATAGGTTGCCCTTTATATCACCTTATAAAATAAATTCAAGTGGCTAAAACTCACTTCCTGACCTGGGAACCTGAAGGTCAAAAGGCCTTTAATCAGTTAAAATAAGCCTTGCTTAAAGCACCAGCCCCTAGTCTTTCTGTAGGGAAGGCCTTTAATCTTTATGTATCATAAAGGAAAGGAATGGCCCTGGGACTTTTAATTCAAGTTCAAGGCCCAGCTCAACAGCCAGTAGGTTACTTAAGTAGAGAGTTTGACTTGGAGGCTAAAGGATAGCCAGCTTGCCTCTGAGCAGTTACAGTGGCGGCCCTGCTAGTCCCAAAGGCCACCAAGTTAACCCTGGGGAATAACCTGTTTGTACCTCACATAAATAATGTGACAGGCTTGCTGTCCTCTAAAGCGAGTCTCTGGCTAACAGACAGCTGCCTCCTCAAGTATCAGGCTTTGCTGCTAGAGGGATCTGCAGTCCAGTTAAAAATCTGTCCTTGCCTGATCCCAGCCACTTTCCTCCCAGAGGAAACTGGAGAAACTGAACATAATTGTGA